TTTACGACTCCCACGAGTGTTTTGTCTACTTCGGGCAACGAGACACTAGGAGGTCGCGCGCATATTGAGACTCGTAAGAAGACATACCGGAAGGCCGCCTACTCCGGTTAGCTTCACGGCTACGTGCGTATGCACTTTGGATCGTTGACATTGTAAACACTGGCTCGCTCACATTCGGACGTCCTTATTCATTGATGATCAGATGTATCGTGAAGCAATCAAATGAAGTACTGCCGCGATGCCTGTAAGGTTTCGAAAACTAAAGAATGATGGGATGAGGGTTCTATAGGTTGAGGTAAACCTGTGGACATGTCACATAAGATGATACCATTAGAAGTCTTTATGGTATTGCCTGACATCTTAAGGAAGTTGAATGGACCGCTTCTTTCCAAGATAAATCAGTTGCCTGGGTGTCGGCCATAGCACTGTTATCTAAGGGGGACTTTATCGCATCATTGTCAATACATGATAATGCGTCCGCAACACAATTCAACTTGCCTTGGACATGCTGAATGTCAGTTGTGAATTGTGAAATATAGTCAAAGTGTCTGGTTTCTCGGGGCGAGTAACGGTCAGAGTTAGTATGCAAAGCATATGCAAAAGGCTTATGGTCCGTAAATAGGGTGAAATCTCGACCTTCGACTTCATGTTTAAAATGTTTAATGGCGTTGTAAACTGCCAGCAATTGGCGTCCAGAAGCCTTATATTTTGTTTCTGTGGGTGTATGGTGCTGAGAGTGAAACTCAGGAGGTTGCCAAAACCCAGAGACCCGCCTTTGCAAGACCTCTCCAAGTATAAAGTCTGAAGTGTCAACCACTGCACCAAGCGTGACTGACGGTACAAGATGCAGAAGCAACGTGGTCTGCGCTAAATTCGCCTTTGACACTTAGAATACTACTCGTGCGGCATCCGTAAGCAAGACCTTACGTGGTGGAAGTAGGTCTGTAAGAGTTTGCAGTCGTTGAGCGGCGTGTGGGATGAATCCTCACGTTTTTGTTTTCTCGTTTGCGGTCGCTCGATTTGTGTGCTCTCGGTTTCAGTGGAATTTCTGTGTCAAAACTCGTCGTACAACGTTGAGTCAGCACTCATTCGACTCAGTTCGGTGAGCTTCATTGAGTGATATCACTCCCCTGCATTTGCATATACCCTACCTGTTTCACGTTTCAGCCGTTTTGAGCGAGGTCTCCAAGCTATTAACGCGTGTAAACTTCTTCAACGTTCCACACATTACCCTCAGTGTGAAGGAAATTCTACGCTCTGTCCAACGAGATTCTATTCAGCTCTGTGTGATCATTTCTAAGAGAGCTACTTGTGTATTTTGTGTTATTCAATTTTGTTTCGTTCTCCATCGCGTCTGCACGTGCATCCTTCCGTTCATCTCCAGTTGCAACGATCAGAAAGCACCGGTTGCCCCGGCCATTGTCTTGCACGCGAACTGTTTTTGTTGACGTGTGGTTGCCTCATCCACACCGACCTGGCTTCACTTGACTTTTGTCTGCAACACCGGTTTTTCCACCGTGTGCTAAATTGGATTATTCTGTTGTGGTTTTTCGCACTCAATGGGATCTATCCGATCGGTAATGTTTCAAAAAAGCAAGGCTTCCCAAAACATGTGTATCCTGCTCCAGGGGTGTTGGCCTCAGGGCCAAAGGGCTCCGTTGTGATGGGTGTTATGAGTGGCTGTACTTCAAATGCACACAACTC